TGTGTGTGTGTGTGTGTGTGTGTGTGTGTGTGTGTGTGTCTTCTCTCTTGTTTACCATCTGCTTTTGGTCTCTCCTACCGAACAGCTGCAGCTCCGGAGTCCTGCCCTATAGACATTGAGGAATAGGTATGACATCTACCAAATTATATAACTGAACAAACCACTCATGCTATCTGGGGTTCCTAACTGAACATCCTTTTGTCTGCGACTCTTCCCACCGCTCAGAGTGCCACCTGCAGAGGGAAGCAGCACCTTTGACTCCTGCTCTGAGACATAGAGCCCGTGGGCAGCTTAGGTGTGGAAGACCCCGTTCCCTTCCTTTCCCAGGCTCCACCGTGGCCTGTTAACCTGCTACAGCCTCGGGACAGATTCCTACACCAGACTGCTTATAGGAAATAAGCAAATGATACCTGCTGCGCCCTCACATGTACGCCACAGAGGGCACTGTTTATGTTGTGGCTCAGTGAACCTGAGGCTGACTTTGGCCACTTGTAGGTTGGTCTCAGGACCACACTATAGTTAGCTGGCCTCAGCTTCTAGAACAGCCCACCCCCACCCCACTCCTCGGGCCACACACCTTTCTGAGTGCCAGGGTGCAGAGGTGTGTACAACTGTGGTTCCTGCAGTAGCTGGCCTAGCAGAGTCAACAGGAGGAAGTACGTTCCCTAAACATCCCAAGCCTTGGAAAGAGGAGTAAGACCCTGCCTGTCATTGCATAAAACACACTAGCTCTCCTGGAAAGAATGAAACAGAGCCGACTTGCCAGCTAGAGGACAGCCAAAGGGTCACAGCGAATACATGATGGTCCCCCCAAACCAAGCTGGCAGGGCACTGGTCACAGAACACATTCTGATCAGGTGTGCTACTGGGCACGCGTACATGTGGCGTGATGCAGGACTTATAGCAAGTCTGTGAGTGCCACACCCACCTCATTGGACATTTGAGAAAGCCAAAGCACTGAGTAAGGCGACCTGCCCAAAGGTCAGACCGTTGGTACCTATCAATTAGGGATGAGCCTAGGCAGGTGCCATGCACATGTGGATGGCAACATAAGGGTTTGGTAGGTTGCATCAGAGCATGAAGCAGAGAGGTGTCGGGGAGGATTTTCCACTCTGGGCACAGAGGCAGCCAGGGGCTAGGACAGAGTCTGGAGTCACAGGGTGGTGAGGTGAGGAAGAGATGAGAAATCGGGATACAGGGGAAGGGCTCAGAGCATCTCCCTCCCCTGGCCCCTGCTCTGCTGCCAGCCCCTTCCCACCCTCTGGCTCCCACAGCAAACACAGAGGCTGTAGGTCAGAAGTGTGCTCTTTGCCCAGCTCTGCCTTCTAACACACCCAAAGTCCAGAACCAAGTACTTAACATGCAGAGTGGATGCTAGGTAAGTTCATGACCAAAGAACATCTGCAGTGTCCCTGTCTGCCCTGGCCACAGGCAAGGACTACCTAGTTAGGGAGGAGCAGCTGTGGTCTTGTCAGCCCCTGCTTCTCCCCACTCTTCCTCTCCTCAGTTCCAGGTCACACACATCCTGCTAGATTCTGTGCTGACTGCTGAGCAGCCCTGCTGGAGACACCGTATCTACTTGGCCTAAGGTATGGCTCCCATAACCTTAATTTTTTTTTCTTCTCCAGCCACCTGGCAGCATGATGACAACATCGTCAGCTGTCGCAGTCCCCAGTGCCGGCGCTTATCATCTAGCAGCCTGGAGGACCCTGAGGAGGACAGGCCTTGTGTATGGGATCCCCTGGCTGTCTGAGGGGATCCTGCACCTGTACCTGCGTTCCCCTCCTATCCTTGCATTCCATCTGTCCTTGCTGGACCATAGGCCTTCTGGGCATCTTCAACAAGACATATGGACTCCATGCTCACACGAAGGGAGGATGGCGTGCAACCCTCTGCCAACCTCATCTCCTGTAACCATGATTCTTACCCTCTCAGAAGAACCTGAAGCCGTCCCTCCCTGTGGGCTGACGCTGCTCAGTGAACTGCAGCCTGCCAGCCAAACCCAGTGGGCCGATGGGGCTGAGGGTCAGGGCTGGCTGTTTCTGTAGCTTTTCTCCTCTGAGGGGAGACCAAGAAGACTGAAGAATTTGGCAGTTTTGTTACAGACACCCATCGACAGATTTTGGTCTCTGTCACCTCATAAGCAATTAGAAACCTAATGAGGTGGTCAGGAATGGGCTCCCTGAGGGAGGCAACCCTCACTCTGGCCTCTGAGAACACCAGGAGTTCCTTACTCAAGCCTAAGGGAGACAGTGGCAGCCAAAGGGTGGGTTGGAAGCCAGGTTTGCTAACAGAGCCAGTCTCCTGCACCTCCTGTGTCCCATTAGGATGATCACTGTTGCAAGGCCTGTCCTCCTCAGGTGCAGTCAGGAAGGCCTGCTGGGCCATCCTGCAGTGCTAAGGCTGACTCTCACCATATCTAATCGATTACAGCCATTGAGGGGGAGTGTCAAACCCACTACCCTTTCTCTTCCCCCTTCTAACGACTGAAGAACCAGGCTAGGAGCTGTGGACCAGTGGTTCTCAGATCGGAGGCTCTGGGGCCGCTGCAGTCACCTGGGACCAGAGCATTGGAAGACCTCCCTATCCGAGTGTATCCCTCCCCTGCCTTTCCCATCTGATATGAGAGGTGTGGCCTGCCCACGGGCCACCAGTGCTTAGAGGTGCCCTTCAGTCAGCACTCAGACAAAGCTGTGGCAGCAGGCCGACAGGAAATTGTTGGGTGTCACACCTTTCAGCGCAGCAGATTTCACATGGCTCTTACGTAGATGCCTGTTTTGGAAAAGGTAGTTGTTTAGTGGAATGTGAGATGGTTTGGGATCAAGATCAGAAAGTTATTTATGATGAGATGTGAAGAGCTTTAAATTTACAAGTGTGGTCCCAGAAAAGCTTTCCAAAAAACACCAGTGCCCAGAATCCTTGGGAAGGGAGTTTGGAAGATTGAGAGTCTGGCCTCCAACTTGCTTTGTAGCTGGGGATGACCTTAAACTTGTGATTTTCCTGCCTGTACTGCCCAAGCATTAGGATTACAGGCTTGCACCACTATGTAGCTCTCTTTGGTACCTTTTGCGTAGCTGCTGCCTGAGGTGAGGTAGGCTGGGTTAGAGATCCCATATGCGCCCTTTTTGAACATCTGTGGACTCTGCCATTTCAAGCCCTACTTGAGGCCCTTTTCTTCCTGCAGTATAAGCTGGGCAATAACCACGATTCCTCAAAGAATGAAGCAGAAGCAACAGGGAAGTTCCCTTAGCCTGGACTGAGGGCACACAGCCCCGCCTCCTCCCCTGGCAGGCAGTAGGTAAGAGTGTTCACAGTGTGGTGTGACCTGGGAGGAGGGGGGAAGTAGCTGAGATGAAGGAGATTCAGGTAAACAGTAGCCACAGAGGCCAGAAACCCTCGAGAAAAGCCATTATAATCAGCCCTTCCCTCTTCCTCACAGCAAGCGCTCAGTTAGCCTAAGCCCCACAATGCAGACGCCTAGGTTAGAGCAGCCTCGGTGAGAACACTGTTTGCTCTGCCTCGCTCAGCTCTACTCCCCCACTCTGTCCCTCTTGTTCTTGGCAGGCTACATAGCCCATTGGCAGGGCTGGACTCCCTAAGTTGCCCCCTCAACCCAGCCCCGTCATTTGGAAACCGTCCCTTTGTCAGGATTTGTTGGAGAGTAGGGCGGGGCACCTTCTCCTGCTGCCTTTGGCCCCTCACCACACTACATCTGCATCTTGGTTTCCTCAAAGAGCCTTTTTGCTTCACCTGATCTCATCCCACCAGAGTTGCTGCCCCCTGTGGCATCTCCTGGCCACAGACCCAGACACTAAGCCATCTCACTGGAGAGCTAGTTCTGTCCACCTGCTGTTGGCATGCTGGTTGCTCATGTTTTAGGGACTGCACACCCGGTGTGGACCCTCCACACTCCCTGGAGTACGCTTGTGGGCGCACTACAGCGGGAACATGAAGATGCAATGTTTATGGATTGACTGCTGCATGATTCTTAAAAGTGAATAAAGCTGTTTACAGGGGCAGGGGATCCGTCAACTACAAAGTGAATTCATTTGTGAACGTTTCGGTCAGAGTGGCTTCGTTAGGATTTTCACTGGAGGAGCTAGGTCTGGAGGAGTGGGTGCGGCAGGAATTTCTACAGGTCTGGGTACAAGGCCTCTTCTCCCCCAGCTCCATGCCCAGCTGAGCCCTACCTACCTGCTTCTGCAGCTGCCTTAAACCGGAGAACTTCCAATCCTGCAGCTCCTTAATAATTAAAGAACCCCAAGGCTGATGACGGGGGGGGGGGGGGGACACAGAGTCCCTGCACTTATTAGTTCTTGTCACTTAACCGGTAACTGACTAAATTAGCAGAATAACCTATGAGAAGATCTGGCAGGCCCGTGGCTTTGTTTTCACCCACTGGCTGTGCCTCCTAAACGAAGGAGAAGCGCTTCTGCAGGTGCCCCTGAAATGCCAGCTTCCAGGAACTTGAGCAGGGTGAGTGGGGGAGCTGCTTACCGGGAGACGCTGCATTACCCTACCCGCCTCGGAGTGTCTGCGAGCAGGGTGGCCGTTTCTGCGGATATAAGCGACAGGTGGCATCAGAGAGTCAGACTTGCCTGCGGGCACCAGAGAAGACACTCAGGGACCAGGGAAAGGCCCCCAGAAACCAGACTTAGGCCACTGGCAGCCCAGTGAGGGGAAAGACTCCAAGGGCATGCAGACTCCGGGGCTCGGTCCCTGCAGCGGTCAAACCCGACGCGTGGGGGAGGGGTTCCCGGGGCCGCGAGCGCCCGCCGCGCGACCCAGCGCGGGGCCCTCGGGCGGGAATGCACAGAGCCGGATCTCGGTGGCGGGTAGGGGGCTGGGTGGCGCGGGAGAGGGCGGCAGAACGAGGGAGTTCCAGAGAGTTGCCGCCAGAGGAGCAGCAAGGGCCCGCGGTCTCCTTGGAGACGTGCTGGCCAATGAAAGCAGCGGAAGCTGTTTATGGGGGCGGAGCGTCGCCATGGCAGCAGAAGAAGCCTTCCGAGCGTCTACTTAATGCCGGTCCCCGGGCCGTCGGCGCTCACAGAAGCGCCGTCGGGCGAAGGGGGGGCGGCGAGGGGCGCCAGCAGAACCCTCGAGCTGGGGACGGAGAGCGGCGGGAGGTGGGAGGAACTTCTTCCAGAACCTTCCTCAGGCGCGGCTGCGCTCTGAGCCAGGTAAGGGACTGGGAGGGCTGTGGGCCACGGGGTTGGGAGGGCGTCGGGACCTGCCAGCTGTCCATTCCATCGGTCGCCCACAGGAGTAGTGGGCCAGGGACTGAAATCTGAGGAGTTTCGCTTCCTGCCCTCCATAACTCGGTCCTGCGACCTTTCTTTCCCGGGACTCTTCATTCTAATACCTCTTTCCCAGGGTCAGATGACCTCCTTTGCCCCAGCCGTGTCGCACTGCCCTCCTGGACTATTGGGGTGTGATCCTCGTTTCCCACTCTTTGGGGAAAAGAGTTAGATTGGGCCTCCCTACCCACTTCCCTCTTTGTGGCCAATGAACCCTCGAAGGACAGATGGAGAGAGGTGGAGAGGCCGAGTCAGACCAGGGTTCTGTGTTTTCCTGACCTCACCATAGGCTGTGGGGATGAATGTGAGGGGTTCCCCCGTAAGGCGCACCCTTTCCCCTCGGGAAAGAGTGCTCAGCTCCGTGGTGTTCCCGCAGGCCCCACATTCGTGTTCGGAGGAGGCGACCCCGCAGGTCGCGGAATGGAAGTGAGGGTTCTGGAGGCTGTGTAACTGGAGCCTCAGGTACCAGCAGGCCGGAGACCGCGGCTGGCCACCCGGCTCAGCCTGTGGATGTTGACCGCCCCATCGGAGGTTCCCCGCAGACATGGCGGAGAGCTGGCTGCGCCTCTGCGGAGCAGGGCCTGGGGACGAGGCCGGGCCAGAGGGCAGCGTGGAGGAGCCGGACGCCCTGGATGACAGCCTCACCAGCCTGCAATGGCTGCAGGAATTCTCCATTCTCAATGCCAAGGCCCCCACTCTGCCCCCGGGGGGCACCGACCCCCACGGCTACCACCAAGTGCCGGGCTCGGTGGCGCCCGGGTCACCCCTGGCGGCAGACCCTGCCTGCTTTGGGCAGCCTCACACACCAGGCAAGCCCACCTCCTCCTGCACATCTCGAAGCGCGCCCCCCGGGCTGCAGGCCCCGCCTCCTGACGACGTGGACTATGCCACCAACCCACACGTAAAGCCGCCCTACTCGTACGCCACCCTCATCTGCATGGCCATGCAGGCCAGCAAGGCCACCAAGATCACTCTGTCGGCCATCTACAAGTGGATCACGGACAACTTCTGCTACTTCCGCCATGCGGATCCCACCTGGCAGGTAGGGGAGGAGAGGGTGGCGGCCACTCCCTCCTTCTGGCTTTGGCCCAGACTCACTCACATACCAGATCTGCAAAAGCCAAGGAGGCACCTGGCTGTGAGGTCAGGCCTCTCATGGGAGGGACCCAACCAAGTTCTGGAAACACTCCCTCCTTTTGGAGAAGGGGCCTCGTGGGTACAGGTGTTGAAGCTCTAGGAGAAGAGCGAAGTAGGGAGCATTCATCCTGCAGGCCCAAAGTAGCCTCCTGTGAGGATTTAACACTAAGGCATATTCTTGTCCCGAGTCCCAGAATTCCTAGACAATGTTCTGCCCAAAGATAGTTTGTCAGAACTGGACTCTGAAATGGAAGCCAGGTGGCCTCCCTGCCGGGTTCTACCCCTTGCCTTTTGTGTTTGGTCCAAAGAGTAGGAGAGAGAAGAGCCCTATGGGTGCCGAGATCAGTCGCCCAGGTAGAGGGGTTAGGAGGTCATCCTCATGCCGCTGGCCCAGCCTCCTACCTCAATTCCTCCCCAGCCCTCCCCGCCCCCAGCTTCTAAGCCAGCCTCCCTAGGGGGCAATTACCTGAGCCAGGTGCTTTCCACAGGGTTACTGCTGCAATGGCTCCGGATTCTGAGCCTCCCGAACCTGGCTGGCGCAGGCAGCCAGTGGGCCCAGCCTGCCCTGTAAACATCCCAGCCTTGCCTGCCAAAAGGCCCCTCACTCTCCATCCACCTGCCTTGCTAGCCTAGCCTGGCCCCCTGGACACCCGTGTGGTGTGAACGAAGTGAGCAGCCAAGTGTCGACCAGGCAAGATAGACAGTGCTTTGAACATCTTCCAATATCAGGCAGGCTCCAGGTGGTGGAGACAGAGGCCTAAGGTTGCCCACCCTTCTCTGAGGCACCCAAGTAGGCAGGGGATGGGATCACTGTCCTGGGCCATTCCAAAAGGCCCTAACCCTGGGTCAGAAGATCCCCATCCTCTCCCTACTCAACTCAGGTCTCAGGAATGAGCCTTCTGCACTTGGCTGGGTAATAATCAACTGAGTTCGGGTGAGAAGAGAAGGCTGTGGGGGGTGAAGACCTAGGCCAGCAGCTGGCTCAACAAACTAGGAGTCACCAAATCTCCCACCACACACACACACACACACACACACACACACACACACACACACAATCCTTGGTCACCCAGCCCCCTCCCTTAACCCACCCACTTCACAAACAGAGGGAAACAGCCAGGCAGAGGGAGATGGCAGTCCAGGCCGTGGGGGAGCTGTGGGCCTTGGCCAGGACCTGCGAGCAGCAGGGTGAGGGAGGGAGGGAGGATGACAGAGGGTGGCACTGAGAGCCACCCTGTGGCTCAGAGCTCGGATGACTGAGCAGGCAGATATCCCGGCAACAGAGAACAAAAGCCCCCCCCCTACCCCACCCCCCAATGCACTCCAGGCTCCTCATGCCCTGTGGCTGGTGTCCCAGAGTCCCAGAGCTACAGCTGCCTGGTCAGGGCATCGGGTTGATCCACCCCTCCCCCGCTAGAGGAAAGATGCAGGGAGCATGCAGGAGCACCGGGTGCCATTCCACGGCCATTCTGCTGAACGCCCCCTCCCCCCTTTGCGTTTTGTTCTCTTGTTCTCTCACTGTATGCAGAATTCCATTCGCCACAACCTGTCCCTGAACAAGTGCTTCATCAAGGTGCCTCGAGAGAAGGACGAGCCTGGCAAGGGCGGCTTCTGGCGCATTGACCCTCAGTATGCGGAGCGCCTGCTCAGCGGGGCCTTCAAGAAGCGGAGGCTGCCCCCAGTCCACATCCACCCTGCCTTTGCCCGGCAGGCCTCCCAGGAACCCAGCGCTGCCTCCTGGGGTGGGCCTCTGACCGTGAACACCGAGGCCCAGCAGCTGCTGCAGGAGTTTGAGGAGGCCACAGGGGAGGGGGGCTGGGGCACAGGAGAGGGCAGGCTGGGGCATAAGCGAAAGCAGCCGCTGCCCAAGAGGGTGGCCAAGGTCCTGCGGCCTCCTAGTACGCTGCTGCTGACCCAGGAGGAGCAGGGTGAGCTGGAACCCCTCAAAGGCAACTTTGACTGGGAGGCCATCTTCGAGGCTGGCACTCTGGGTGAGGAGCTGAGCTCTCTGGAGGGCCTAGAGCTAAGCCCTCCGCTGAGCCCCACCTCACATGGAGATGTGGACCTTACCGTCCACGGCCGCCACATCGACTGCCCTGCTACCTGGGGACCTCCAGCGGAACAGGCTGCGGACAGCCTAGACTTTGACGAGACCTTCCTGGCCACATCCTTCCTCCAGCATCCCTGGGATGAGAGTGGCAGTGGCTGCCTGCCCCCAGAGCCCCTCTTTGAAGCAGGGGACGCCACCCTGGCCGCTGACCTGCAGGACTGGGCCAGTGTGGGTGCCTTCTTGTAAAAGGTCAGGCCCCACCCCATCTCCGGACAGTGCCCAAGTCAGGGCCCAGAACTGCCTCCCAAGACAGGCCAGCGGGCATCTCAGCACCCTGGCAGGGACTGGGCCAGGTCTCTGAAGGCTGGCTCCATCAGGCCACACTGCTGCCAGCTGGGGATGTCCTCATATCCAAGCCCAGAAGACTGGGAACTGAGGGCCCAGGAACCAAACAGCTGCCTCCCCCTCACCAGCAACCCCCCCACACACACAGTGTTTCATCGGCCCATGTTCCCCCAAGCCCAAGAATTGTCAAAATCACACACACACACCCCTGCCTGGCTCCCTGCCCCCTGCACTGTGAGAGCTGAAGCCTGGAGGGGTCCTGCCAGGCCAGGGAGGAACTGAACAGGGCCCTCATGGACGCTCCTCACCTCTCCCACTCCTGCTGCTTCCCCGGGTCTCTACCCAGAGAAAGTTCCCAGGTACAACAAGGGCTAATTGGATGACAACAACTTCACTCCCTAGAGGCCCCTCCCGGCAGAGCTTTCCCCCATGGGGGACCCCTGCCACCACCTCCCGGCAGCCTTGGCTAGGGAGAGTAGTGGCAGGAGACTGGGGAAAGGAGAGAGAGAAGGGGAAACAGAGAGAGGAGGCAGAAATAAGGTGAAGGCAGCAAGGTGGAGCAAGATGGTCTCTGAGCCCTCTGGGACCTTCTCCTGGCCTATCACCTGCAGAAAGGAGGCTGACTTGAGGCTGAGAGCAACAGGCAGGTGGGGTTCAGGGTGGTTGGGGCCGGGGCAGCCAAGCTGCTAGGTAGAGGGAGGGAGAAACTAATATAGGGAGTTTAGTTAGAGCTAAGACTTAACTGGGAGGGATGGCCAGCTCGCTGGAAACACTCAGACCAGGAAGGAGGAGCACCATGCCCCTGTCTGCACTGGGGGGACCAGGTCTTACTGCACCCTGACCACTGGGGCTGGGACCCTTATCCACCCTCCACATGGGGCAATTTAACCTTTTTCATGTAAAGTTCTTTACAACATTTTTTTTTTTTTTTTTCAAAATAAAAAAGTCTGGACACAGTCATCTCTCCATCTTTCTTCGGGACAGGCAAGAGCCAAGAGTGGTGGATTCGGGAGGAAAGGGCCGATACATTGCTTTTCAGTGTCAAGAGGGAAATGGCCAGGAAAATGGGACAGAGAGGGTCTCTAGAAGGTCCCTAGGGAAGGAAGGGCCAAAGGATGGCTCTCTCAGGGGCCTGCATCCCACACTTCACCGCCTCTATCTGCACAATGGGAGAGTTGGGCCTGCAGGCCCAGAGGACTCACACCAAGGACTAAAAAAAGCCAGTGTGCCCTGGCTCGAGCCATCCCCCGCCATGAGGACCTGCCCAGGCTTGCCTGTCCAAGAGTCCCGGGACTCCTTCCAGCACTCCCCTCCTCAGTCCTTTCCTGGAGGGGCAGGGTGTGAGGTCAGAGGAGCCCCACACCCCACATCCTGCTCTGACTGTGTTTACCAGGCCCAGCCTGGTTCAGGCTTGGAGAGGAGGAAGGCCACTTTAAAATAAGGCTCAGTGCTGAGACTTGCCCTCTCAGCTGGGAAGGCCCAGGCTGCCAGGGTTCTGACGGTAAAATGTGTGTGTGTGTGTGTGTGTGTGTGTGTGTGTGTGTGTGTCTGTGGGTGGATGGATGGATGGCCCTGAGGCCATACCTTTCAATCCCTCCTTTTACAACCACCGGCCAATCCAACCCTCACAGCCTCCTGTGCCCAGCCCCTCCCTGTGAGGCGCTTGTGTGGCTCACACGCACAGAGCACACACACAACAGCATTGCCCAGTGCCTTCCAGAGCAATCCTGCCCAGCCTCCACGGACCCCTCCTCCTTCCTTCCTTTCATCCCTTTCTTCCTTCCTCAGTCCTTGAGTCTGGCCTGAGGCCAGCCTGGCATTCCGCTGCCCAACATGCTGCTTTCATTTGCTAATTATTCCAAATATTCCAGAAGGGCGCACACACAGCAGGGCAGGCTGGCTGGGGCCTCACAGAGCCCATCCCCTTTACCCAGCACACAGGAGGGGCTGCCCCCCACCGAAGCCTCTGCTCTTCCAGCTCCCTAGGCCTCCTTGCATCACCTCCCCCACTCCACCGCCTCATCTCTACAGACCACAACCCTAAAAGAACAAAAGCAGCTCCCGCCTTCTCCATAAGCCTCCAGGATCAGCCTTCTGCCCAGGCCAAGGTGGGCACACCCTGGGTTGACAGTGGGGCGAGTTACTGCCTGCCCCAGGCCTTATGCTGGGAAGAAGAGAGGCAATGTCTGGGGCAAGCAGAACTGCTCCTTGGATGAATAGAAGGGCAAAGATTAAAAATGCAGAGCAGAGTGAGGCGTGCCCTTGGCTACAGCTGGCATTCACTCGGAATTCCTGAAAATTATGGTGCCCAGGCCTAACCTTGAGCCAATCAGATCAGAGTCTCTAATGGGGCCCAGCATAGATTTTCCTTTAAGTCCCACGTACTTCCACTGTGAGGGTTTGCACTGGGGTTTGGGGTGGGTACCTGTCTTCTCCAGAGCAGGACAGAGGGTGTCTTCCTCCATTGCTCTCTGCTTTACTGCCCTGAGACAGACTCCCATGGAACCACAGCTCACTGTTTCAGCTAGGCCAGCAGCCATCAAGTTCTTTTGCAATGATCTGTCTCCATCCGCCATGCTGGAGTGGCAGGCACACTGCCCCAATGCCGAGCTTTTGACACGGGTGCTGGGGACACATGCTCATGACCTGGCACTTACGAGATTGGCTCTTACCCCGAGCCATCCCCCAAACCTCTGCCTCTCATTTCGCTTATAGGTTCAGTGTAATCCCAACCAAAAGAAGCACTAACATAAGACAAACATGCTGCCCATCACCGTTAAACACTTCAGTGTGTACTTCCCTAAAACTAGGAGGCATTCATGCCTACCCAGGCCATAGAGCTCCCCAAACCATACAGGTCTGCCGGGGTGCCTCAATGCACCAGCATTACCAGGCTACCACTCAGCTGGCTCACTTTTTTGACCTCTGAGCTGTGTGGCTTTGAGGTCAGGACTCCTGCTCTCCAGACAGGCTCTACTTCGCCCACATACATTCAGGGTTTGGATTGCTAGACATACGGCAGTTTTGTGTCTAGTTTTTTACTTATTTATTGGCTTATTTGAGGCACTGTTTTTCGTGGCAGCTGGTCCGTGTATATTTCCCTCAGCCATACATGAAGAATTCAGTTTTTTTCACAACACTTACGGGTTTGTTTCGTATTTTTTGATTTGCCTGTTGTTGTTGTGCTGGGGTTTGGACCTAGGACTTCACACGCATTAGGCAAACATTCCACCACTAAGCTAGATCCCAGCTCCTTTTGTGGTTGTCATGTTTGAGACAGGGTCTCTGGAAGTTGCTCGCTCTGGCCCTGGACTCACTCTGCTCCACACAGGCCTTGATCTTCCCCTTCCTGCTGCCGGCAACCTCCCAAGTGTTGATGACTCTGGGCCTGTACCACCAGCCCAGACGCCTGGTCTTCAGTTGTAGGCTTCAAACCTACTTTTGCAGCCACCAGCTCCTGAACCCCTCGGTTTTTTCAATATTGGAGAACAGCCCTTTCCCAAAGCAAGGAGCCACCCTTCCTGCCCCCAGACTTCCACCCTTCATCCATGTATCCTCTCCACTACCCCCTGGGAATGTGACAGGAGGCAGCCATAAGAAAGGGTACAAGCAGCTAGGCATGGTTGCGCACGCCTGTAATCCCAGCACTTGGGAGGCAGAGGCAGGTGGATCTCTGTAAGTTCAAGGCCAGCCTGATCTACAAAGAGAGTTCTAGGACAGCCACGGCTACACAGAAAAACCCTGTCTCAAGAGAGAGAAAGAGAGACAGACCGACAGAGAGAGACAGATAGAAAGAGAGGCTACAAGCTTGGAGCTTGGGGGGGGTGTCCTCCCACTCTTGGCTCTGAGTTCTCTAGGACAGGATACCTTGGGGTCCAGCAACTGTCATCTGAACATCCCCTATAAATGGAGATTCCCTTGCCATTCCTAGTGGTCCACAGCAACAGAGCTAGGCCCCCTTCAAAGCTGAACTAGGCCCTAGAGGCCCCAGAATGGGAATGGATCCCACCCCCCACCCCTGGGCAGCAAGGAGGGCAAGGGACAGGAAGGGAGTCAGGTGCAGCTCCTGCCCCATCCTTGGCTGAGGCCCAAAGGTAAACAGGTGTATATGGACTCTGGCAGGGGGTAATGGGCTGGCCCCTGGGGCAGGCCCGGGCCTGTCCTGTGGGGAGTGGAAGGGCGGCATTGTTAACAATGGGATGGGACAGTGGCCCAGGTCCTGCAGACACATTCTTGTGTGAGGAGAAGGAAAACACAGGTGACATGGGAGGGGAAGCTGTTGGGAAGGGGAGGGGACTTTGCTAAATAGTGTGAGCTGCAGCTCAGCAGGAGATGAAGTACACAGAAGCCCTCGGTGGGGGGAGGGGGCGGGACACCTGCCTTCCTCCCAGGGGACATGTGCCCATCTCCCTGTGCTTCTCTCAGGTGAGACAGGTCAGAGCCACCGGGACAGGCGGGCAAGCTGGGGCCTGAATGTTCCCTGCGTGCTGTGTGGCAGGAGCAGGGCAATGTCCGAAGAAGCCAAGGACCCTGAACTAGCCTGGCAAGGTCAGCTTCAGACACGGCAGTAATCAGAGAGGGACGACGGAGGGCCTACCCTGCTGGCCTAAATGGATGGTCCCAGGCTCCCACCAGGTCACAGCACCTCTGTCTGAGGCAGAGTGGGAGCCTCAGTTCTGGAGCCCCCCAGGTTCTGGGCAGTGCTGCTGAGCTCCTAGGAAAGCAAGCCCCCAAGGAACTAGACAGGGCCTGCCCCTGCCACCCACGCCGGCCCACCCTGTCTGTACACACCTCTGCTAAGGCCTCCACCCTGAAGGCACTCGAGCCTGCCTCATCTTGGAAGCTAAGCGGGGTTGGTACTTGGATAGGGGACTGTCTGGGAATACTGGGTGCTGTAGGCTTACCCAGGCAGGACGGCACAACACATGAGACCAGAGGATCCCTGTGAGTCTGAGGCCAGCCTGGTCTACCTAGTGAGCTCTGGGACAGCCAGGACTGTGTAGAGATACCCTGTCTCAAAACCAACCAAACATCAAACAAAACAACAGAACAAACCTAAGCCACCAGCTGCTCTCCCAGAGCTGCTGTTTGTCCATGAAATCAAGCCGGAGCCAAATGTTCTCTCCTTACCAGGCTCTACCCATGGGCTCTGCCTGTGGCCCTGCCCCCTTACCCTTTCTCCATACAGTGTCAAGGTTCCTTCTAACTTGCCCTAAGCTAATAGTGCTGGAGCTTAACTGAGTAAGGGCAAAGTTGGTTTAAACCCGGTCTCAGTTATTAGTCTCTCGTCCCCATTCCTCTGTCACCAGAGTCCTGTGGGCAGACAACCTATCTGTCCTGCCCAGGCCTGCACTGAAAGCATTAAACACAGAAGCCAGTGTGCTGAATAGTGATCGTATAAACAATGGATTGTTGGGGTGAAAAACAGCAAAGTAACCTTTGCAAGATACTTTTGGTAATGCTATCCAGTTCCCGGGGTCACAGACTGAGGACATCCCCCAAACTCCTGAAGCTGTGGCTTGACCCAAGGCTGTGCACAGAATCTGGGGCCAGAGCACCCAGTCTCAGGGTGCTTGGAGGACAGCCCACCCTGCCTTGTCATGTGGAAGGACGAGAGCCATCTGTTGACCCCGAATGTTTGAGTTCCTTAGTTGTGGAAGAGGCAGTGGAGGCCTTGAATGTTGGCTGAGGCTACCCTGCCCAGAATCTGTGGAAGCCATGAGCCAGATGGAAAAGGAGGAAATGTGAAAGGGAAGACCCGGTCCTCCTGGTCTCCAATTTCCTAGGGCCTGGATGCAGCCATCTTGGGAGGGAGCAGGAGCCTCAAGGGCAGGGCTAAGCAGGGAGGAAGCACCAGGTCCCCTCAACCCAAACCCATAGATCAGCATGTGGGCCATTCGCCCCATTTGTAACCCTGGCCAGGGTTAGGGTAATCCTGGTCACCAGG